CTCTCCTCGGCGCGTGTGTACAGCGCACCAGGTTGTCGCCATGCCGCGCCTCGCTCACGTAACGATACACATCCGCCGCCGCCGCCCAGCATCGCAACCTGTCTCAATTGAATTGCGCGCCGAGCAGGCTGCTCTGGCCCGGCGGTGGGGTGGGGCCCGAGGGAAGGGAGACACTGCCGCTCCGCCGCGCCGCGCCTCCCCGAGCCGGAGGTCACACGCCACTCAGCTGAGCGCCGCGAGGTCGCCGTCGGCCAAAGAAGTCATCATTGTCGCAGGCTGCGCGGAACTGTCGTGGGCAGGTGGCAGCTGGCGGGAAAAGAGGACAATTTTCGGTAATTTTATTATAGAACGGCGGACTGCTCTGCAGACACGACATGACACGCTGCCGCGCCCGCCTGTCTGCTTGTCTGCCAACCTGGGTGGGCGTTCCTGGAGCTGATCCAAGGTGCAATACTAAGCATATAGGATCAGGTCGGGAAACAAATCCACACAGTTTTAACATCTAAAAATTGAATCGAGTGACTGGATCCGGCCCACCTCATTCAGAGCAATTGCACGGTTATTTTATAAAACTGCCCCCAACCCACCCAACCTAGTCTAGCCTAGTCTAGCCTAGCCCGGTGAAAGCACGTTCGCCCTGGTGGCGTGGTCCGCAGTCCCGCGTGCCTTGCGCCTCGGCTGCGCTGGGCCCGGCCCGAGGCCCGGCCGGCGCTGCCACTGCTTCCGTACTTCCGGTCCGACCAAGGCTTAGCCGTTTGTAAAGTGCTGGGGTAGGACAGGGCTGAGGGAGGGGCGGGGAGTTCCCCTTCTCGGGTTCGACGCTTGGCTGATGACCGTCGGCAATTTTTTTTCGGATTTGATCCCTCTCTAGTCCGTCGATATTGACGTCATTCCTCTTTCCAACGCAGTGCCAGCTTGCCCCTGCCCCCCCCCCCTTTTCCTTTCGCCAGGCTCCTGCAGTGAAGCGTTCCCACCCTGAGTGAGCCGCCGTCCAGGTCCAGCCCATCACAGACTGTGACGTAAGACTAATTTTTATTTTTTTATCATCATCGTCGCTGACCTGCTCGCCATTACTGCCCGCTGGACGCTATTGCAGTGCAGCGCTGGGCGGCACGGGGCTGCACGGCGCGACGGCGCGGCCATCGCACCGCAAATTGCGCCATTTTGCCTTTAACTTTGAGCTTCAGAGGTGTATTTGTTTGACACTCGACCTGCTGCAATAACCAGTTTAGAAAAAACAAAAACAAATTGTTTTCAGAAATGGCAGTCATGCAGCACGTACGACTCTCGGGGTTAAGTGTGCCTCTGAAGCCATACGGTTGGGTAGCCTGGCATACATAGCGCGAAACAGTCTGATCTGTTCCCCAACTGGCAAAAGTAATAAGTTGCAGGAACGAACAAAAATCATGCACGGAATGGAATTGTTTTTGTTGTCAAATTTACAGTCAGTACACTTGCATAGTAGAACACTGCTGACAATGAGCTAGGCATAGCGGTAGCGGTCATCGAGTAATCCGGAAGCCCAGGCCGGCAAGCCAGCAGGCGCGCGGCCGTAGCGGCTGTGGAGCTGGTCGAGCTGATCCTCACCCTGATCCTTATCTGCGATGATCCTCGAAGCAAATCCTCTTAGCGTGGCTAACGCTCCCTGCCCTTTTTCTGTGTTGCAGGACCAGATTGAGTCGAATCTGAAGGCGTCCCTGGACGAGCTGCGGAAGCGCATCGGCGAGCACGATCCCAGTAAGTATGAGAGCCGTAGGGTGTAATGTTGATTGCTCTTATTAGGCGCTTTCTTATTTCCTATGCAACGCCGGAATCCTGTGTAGTGTTACGATATTCGGTTAAGCTGCTCGCCCTTAACAACAAGCAAAATTATCAAAACATACATATTGATATCAAACAAGGCAGGGTCTCCATGGTATGGTTCTTTTTGCAATTGATAAGTTTTTGTTGTTGTTTTTTATTTCAATTGAAAGGAAGGAAAACAAAACTATGCTCGACTTGAAGGCGTGAGCGCCTATGGTGTTGAGGGCCACGCGGCCACGCCCGTTCGTCCACACGCCTTAGCTCCCACAGTTGACAGGGACTCTGCGCGACGACGTAGCGAGGCGTGGCCTAGCAATGACGTGGGAACGGCAGAGGTGTTTCGTTTCAGGGTGGCGTTGTTGCGCAACGTCAGGAATTTGAGCGCTTTTGTTTCCGTTTATTGCGCCGCGTTCGTCTTCCCTGCTTCCTCACTGCAGTCCTATCGGGCTCGCCGGTCGGGCTCCCTTCGAGCTCTGTTCGGGTTCTCTCGGGGCTCGCTCGCGCCTCCCAATTAGTGAAAAGGAGACGTCTGGGAACACGATACAAATCACTGTCGGCAGGTGCGCCTGGCCGGCCAGGGCTTCCGGGAGGCGGCGGCGCTGACATCTTGTAGCCGTGTAGGCGCCGGTAGGCGCGGACACCGTGTAGACCCTGCCCCTGCCTGCACTGGAAGTTTCTTACAAAGAACTAACTGTGCTGTTCGTAACGTGCGAAGGATTTGGGACCTTTGCAGTACAAACAAATCCCTTTGTATTACGCAAGGTGTGGCTTCATGATACGAAGACTACGTCACGTGTATGTCGGTATACCACCTGGTGCTGTTCATGATGTGAAGAGTGCTCTTTGTAAGCAACTCGACGGCCTAAGCGCCCCTAAAGTACGGGCGACTAGTTCCTATGTGCTTTCCGTCCCACATTGCCTCCCTCACTCTCCCCCTCAAACATGCCACTCACCCCATCCTGCACCGGTCTTTGAGCCCCTCTCCCCCCATCCCGCTCTTTTTCCTCACATCGTCACCAACTGCACTGACCACCACCCCTATATAGGCACAGGCAGGGCAAGAGACGGGCAGCTGGCAAGGGCTTCCATGTCGCATGCGGCTGACACCCCCGACCTTCCCCCCCCGCCCCACCTTGGCACTAGGAGCAGGAGCCCCCTTACTCACATTCATAAACACCGGTAATGCAATGCTCCACACCCCACGCTGCACTGTACTCCGGCTGCACTCTGCCTGTACTCGCAGGTACTCCGGTTCTCTTGTACTCATGTGTACACCAAAAGTTCGAGTTGTCGAACCCTCGCAGAATTGTGTTCATATTGAGCATGAAATTTATCTCTATATACCATCTGTATACCATCTGAGTTTTATGCTGGTGATCCCCCTCCCACCAGTCCCACTCTCGTTTTAACCTTACCCGCTTTTAAGATAGCGTTGAAGCAATAATACTAAAGAAGGTGATACATTATACAGCGATACCTTGTTGCCTTCCCCCCCCCCCCCCCCTATGTGTACAGCCCACTCATCCTCACCCTCCTCTCCCCTGGAGTCACCCGTCGCGGGCGCGCGGGCGGCGGGCGACGCGGCGGTGGTCTCACCTCACCTCACGGGTTAAGCTGGTTAAGGTCCTGTCCCGTCACCTGTCGCTGCTCCACTCCACGCCACACCGATTTGGCCGTGGGCGGGACGTGGGCGGGGGCGGCCGGGGGGCGGGGCGGCACCCACCAGGACGACCGGGGCCCCCAGCCCTGCCACGGGGCTTCAGAGCGTCCTTCCCTTCGGCCCAGCACGGTAGAGCCCCGCCGGCTGCGCCCCGCCCAGCCCGTCCGGCCAGGGCCGCGCGCCACATGACCGCCAGGCCACTCTACTCGGGTCGCGCGCGGGGTGCAGGCGGTGCGGGCCCTGTCGGCTGCTGGCGGCCCAGCCCCGCGGACCCACCGCCGTCGTGTTCGCCGTCCTCGACCTGCTCGCCCAGGTCGTGCGCCCTCGTGCCCCACCGCCGCGAGCTCGCCGACCGCGTTCGACAGGGTGCTGACGAAACGGCCCGCGCTGCGCCACCGCGGTCATGAGCCGGCCGTCGCAGCCCGCGCCCAGCATCCTGGAGCGGATGAGCATCTTCGAGCAGGTGGAGCTGCGCGGTGGCGGCGCCGGGCCCCGCGGTAAGGACACGGGTGCGCGTGGAGGAGTGTCCGCGTGAGGCGGCGGCAGCGGGCGGCAGCTACCCCTCTGCAATTGTCTTTTGTCACGGCACGGCCGTGGTTTTGGCATGCGCAGTTTTGCGGGTTTGTCACTACTTGCCAATGCAACTTTTAAGCTCTATGATCGTGCCTGCGCTGTTTTACGTATTAAATACACTTGTGAAAAATGTTACGATCTGTCAGATAGCTCCGCTAAAACAATCAGTAGGAGGGACCATCCCTGCTTTTGAGCCATTATTATCCAACACCATATCGTGGGGCCAATACGGATCAATATCAAGTAGTGTTTTCAACTGTGTTAGGGGTCATCCAGAAAGTTCGTTCGTCATTCGCCGATACCGAACTGCCCAGTTGAGCCTATTCAAGCTCTCATAGCGCCTGATCGGTAGGCAACATCTAAACTGCCGTGTATGCATGCACCACTGGGTGGCCTACCTTGAGTCTCGCAGGCGCCGAGCTCCCTCAATTTGCCGAATGAATCTGAGAAAAACGGACGTACTCTCTGGACGACCCCTTATGCTCTGCGCCGCACCATAGGTCTGGCGCACTACTCTGGGAAAATTATCCAGTTTCAATTTATACATTAAAGTATGCATTCTATTTCCAAATTTAACATTGTTACTTCGCACTAATTTCACGCCATAAATATGGCCTTGCTTTGTAAAACAATGCGCTGGGTGCAGCTTTGTGGATGCCAGCGACAGCACGCCCGAAGGGTAGGCAACCTATCGTGCACAGGGGCACTTATTGAGTCCACCTTGTCGGCGCTGCTTGGCGTGTATGGAGACTTGCAGTGATAAACTAAGTGTGCAACTGCCTAACACTTGCAAGTGTGCAACTGCAAGTTAAATACTTGCCAATCTAAGGAAGTGTTCAGCCGGGGAGTTGCACAGCTACCGAGTTGAACACGTTGCAAATATTGAACTTGCAGTTGCACACTTGGTTTATCAGTGTGGTTTTGGTCCGGTGGAGGTAAAGTTTGGGTTACGTTTTATGAGTTGTATGGCGAGTCTTTCTCATAATTTGATAATTAATCAACAACTACAGATTCGCTAAAAATAGAATGCCATATGTGGTAGACCCGGGTCGACTAGATCATTTTAGTTTTTAGATAGCGTTACCAAATGTCGGCCGATAAAGTTTTGAGAGTATTTTAGCTCTATACTACCTTGCTTCATTCGAATCCAGCTACTCATCTTTCACCCAAGGAAATGTTCGTCGTGTTTGTTTTTTTAAATATGTGTACATTGATGGACCGATTGTTCTCCTTTGCAGCCAACATTTACGCGGACGCCATGATCCCAGAGCAAGAAATCATGGAGCGCTGTAACCAGAGGAACTCGAGCGGACACGGCCTGATGGGAGGGCTGGGCGGACTTGGAAGACCCCTGCCGTCCGGTGGTCCTCCGCACGTCAACTCGGAAGGACTCATCGTGCCGAGGAAGGTGCAGAATCCCTGCCTCGACTCCAAGGACAGACAAAACCTCCACCGGGAGTTGATTTTCAATACCAAAATGTAAGTACTTACAGACACACAAATACGTCCCGTCCTGTATTTTTTTCTTCTTAGTTTTTTCCTATCTTTGAATAACAAGAAACGTCTTACATCGAACTTACATTTGTATTTGTATTCATGTGTGTAAAGATGGCGCTCACAATTTCATTTTTCAGATACAGGAGGGCAAAAACAGGCATTTCAGAACAACATTTGACATGAGGATCAGTACAAAAATTTCTTTGATGTAGGAGTCATAGATCCTCCCATCTGTACAATTCTCTTTCAATTAAATAATTTTTTAGACTAGTTTGGAAATTTTTTGATGAAGCTGCATCCTTGAGAACATCTAGTAATTTATTAAAGAATATTGCTTCCATGTGGGATGGATTAACCTTTATCACGTTTGATTTTGAACGTTCTATATGTATATTTTTATTATTTCACGTAGAGTACTCGTGTATGGTATTGACCAGCCTGGTCCGTTTTGGATTTGCCAGAGGCCAGAGTGAAGATAATGATCTAGATACATATAGTGCATGTACCTCTACATGTATGTATCCTCTACAGGATGCAAAGGCTGGCAAATTTGAAAGTGTATCCTCACTGCATTTGTCTTTTCATTTGTTATTTTATTAAATCTCCTTCCGCACCCCTATACAAACTAAAAGAAACAGTACAGGGCTTTTGGAAATCTACACATGCATGGGAAACTGTTGGGATTCATTTTATGGTAATCTAGATTTCATACAATTTGTTGTTTGTTCTTTTTGTGTCTCCAGAGGCAAAAACCCACTAAACCAGAAGTCGGAGCTTGCGCGCGCCCTACAAAATCGAAAGGAGAGCCAAGCAAAAAGGGAAGTGGAGTTGCAGAAGCAACAAAATAAGACACCATTTGAACGAGTAATTGAAGAACGCGCTCGCAAACTCGAATCTGTAAGTTTTGAATGTTTTACAAAGGGCATGCTGTTTAATAATAATATTTTATTTTGCATAAGTTTATAATACATTTTTGTTCTGTGTTCGCTTGTTTGCAGAGAAAGGAGCCTGAGGGAAGAAGTAGCAGTGGAGCAGAACCAGAATTTATGCAGATTCATGCCAAGGTCTGCAAGCCAAAATAATGGGGTAGTTGGGCAAGCCCTGTTTTGTTTCCGCAACCATACCACGCTTTACCTGGAGCATGTTCCTGTAGCTATGATATTGATATCCATTTACTGCTCTGACCAATAACTGAAGCAGATTATGAGCCTTCCACAGGTTTAAGAGTTCTCATTTTACCTTCTTTTGACAATTGCCATACTGTGGACACAATGTTTTTGAATTATTGAATGGCTTTCCGTAACTCACTGTCTGTCAAATATATATTCCCTATTATTCCATCTGACCATCACATGTTCTCTCCCATCTAGTTTAGTATTAGTTGTGATCTTACTTTAAGTTATGTAGTAATAATTATCTGACAACCACTTCCAATCTAGGGGTACGAATATTGTGAACTTTCCATTATTATTATTATGAAAACTGTTTTCTTTGAAATTTGTGTCGTCCAAAGAAACTGCTTTGACACACTTAACTGTTTGAAAACATATAGAGTTCAGAATTCAGGCATATAGTTGTACTTCATAATCCTACGGTACTTTTTATTCATCGACTTCTAGGTTGGTAAATTATTGTGCAATAGCTTAGGCTACTTGTGTCAATTTTTTTTGTTTTGTTATTCTGACATTTCCTCCAAAATGCATTTGTTATGTATTTGAAGCCCTCTGGAACATATGTAGAGGTGAAACTAACTGGTTTCTTTAGATTCTTATTTTTGTTAAGCAAGTGAAAGAAAAAAGTGGTTAATCTCAAGACGCTCTTGAAGTGACATTTAAAAGTAAAATTATTCTGGCAGTATACCAATATCTCTTAAAAGACTTTTGGATTGTTAGTATTGTCACTGAATATTGAATATCATCTCATTGACAGTACAGACATTAGTATTTTCTTACATGTCAATCTCATCTTGATGATAAAAATTCAGAGTATTTTTATAACTCTATTTATTTCTGTGTGATGTTAACATAAATCACATTTTTTTAAAACAACCGTTATTGCAAGCAAGATACTATTTGCCTATAATGTATTGATCTAGCCATAGCAGCATCTTGGAAAGTATTACCGTAACTTCTATTACTTTTTTCTTCTTTGATTTTCACAAGTTTCCCTATTTTTGAGCTGAAGTTTTGTGTCTAATTCATGAGCCAGTTCAAACATGTAGTGTAATATCTCTCTTGAATATTGTGTGGGTAAAAACAAACTATTTTCTTCTTTGGTTGCATATCATTTGTGATTTTACATTGTAGTAATGTCTTCGAATCATTGTAAACCTTTAATGTATATTACTGTTTATCATATTTGTTAGAAGATTCAAACAGCACAATGTGTTGGTGAATTTGGCACAAAGTTGCTACTTTGATTTCCTCTTATATGTCTTGAAAAGAGGATCTTGAAGCAGGGACTGTAGGGTATGTTTAAACAGTGCTTCCTTTGTTGGTATCTCTAGGACTTGATACAGTTTTTAATATGGATCAAGACCTGTCAAATTTTGTAATGCTAAGGTTATATTGATGATAATTTTGGCCGGTACCACTAAGAACAAAGAAGGTACTGCGAGATGTTCCCGGGATTGCACCAAGGGGTGAGGGATGAACAATGATCTGCTATGAATTCTTCATTTGTACAACTTTTTTTTTTTTTTTTTTTTTTCATTTTTAGGTTGCCCTGGAACTTGCATTGTTTATTAATAAACTAGGAACTAATGTACTGCTTCTGTTTTCTCTGATTAGAAAGTCAAGTATTAATCTCATTATAGGAGAAAGATTGTATCTCTAACTTTCATTCAATGTTATAGACTGATAGTACCTGTTAGATTCAAAGACATTTATTGTCAACCCAGTTATGACCAGTTTTTGGATTCTGTACAACAACCCATATTTACCCCTGTTATCTTTTTCAAACTTTTCAGAATATCTGTTAAACAAACATGGTACTTACATGTGAATTAATTGTACATTGTCAATTCAGGCTGGAAGTGCATCATTTTGCCATATTCAATGAATGGTATATCCTCTGAAGATTACTGTAATAAAGTCAAGCACATGAAAACTAAGAAAAAGAAAGTGCAGAGTACAAAATATGTTCATTGGTGGCAAAACATTATGTTATGTTCTTTTTTGTGCATTTTTGTAGTCATTTCTTTTACAGTTTTTTTACAGCGTGTACATGTACCCTTTATTATCTATCTAGCGTGATGCTCATGCAATCATAATGTCTAATGTACAGTGTTTTGTTTACAGAGCACAAAACCCAAATTCTAAAATCTTTTCCTTTTTTTTACATTGAAAAGTTCTTTTACATTCTCTTTTCTTTTTGGAAAGAGTGTGTAATTGAATACAGGCGATGATGCTTCTTAAGATTGTAATTGTATTGCTCATTCTCTCCTGGGAAAAGATTAAAAATATCTGTACAAATAATGTTCAAAGTTGTATAGTTACTAAATGAGTTCTCTCAGAATCCAATACTAATCTTTCCATAGAACTCATCGATATACATACACGTTGTTGGTTAACAAGAAAAAGATTGTGATTGTAAGATTGTGAATACTTCCCTACTAGCATGTATATACCAAACTCAATTACTTTGTTTTGTTCTACATGTTTTTTAAAGCCATATTTCTGTTTTCTTGAGTTGCCGCTGGGGTTATAATGGTAGCAGCTGATCCTTCTCATGAACAAATCAATTTAAGTCAGAAAAAAGACGAGACCAAACCTGTTGCTTTTGTAAATACTACTTGTAGTCAGTTAAATAAACAAAAAACTTCCTACAGTGACTGTGTAAATATTCTTCACATCCCAACCAGAAATAAAATATCGAACTACTATAGTCTGAGAGATGAGTCTGCCTTAATCTTCCCAACCTGTCTGTATTACTGGTCAGAATCACCCCTACGTTTTAGGCGTGAGTTAACTTTCTCCAACCAGCATTTAAAATACCTGTACGAGTTGTGAGTTGTACCTCTAACACAATTATCAGTGGTGATGTGTACTTCTAATGTTTTGACCTCTACAGAAAATGAAGCAAATTACCTATTGCAGATTTGCCTCTGTTTCAAAGGATGATTTATCTCTAAACATTTGCTATCAAAATCAATTTTACTTAAGATGCTTGATTGTGAGCAGAGGCGACAATCTGGTTTCTCAATGTATATTTTTTTGAAACACAATATGCAAATAATAATTTGGGCTCCATAAGCACCATTTTACGGGGATCAGGGCGTTTCGAAACCATGTGCCACAAAAATGTGGCCTCAAATCCGGCGGCCCCAGTCAGCTAAATCTGACCAGATTATAGAAGATCCTTTTTCGGGCAATGTACACAGGGTAGTCCACAGACCCCTTCCTTCATTTTGCTTATACTGTACAGCATGTGTGCGGGTGGTGAGCGCGCTGGGGTGCGGTCCGGAAACCGTCGGCCTAGGGATCGAATCCCGTTGGGGGGGACCTTTTTTCGGGACCTGCTGAGTAGGAGGTGAAGTTGACCTCCTTACTTTGCTGTAGACCTAGTCGGATTCACACCGA